TATAAACACACAAAATACATGATTTTGGAAAAATAGTATAGTGGGCAGGGTGCTTGCCTTGCATGCAGCCAACCTAGGTTCCCAGCAATCCACGAGACTCTATATGGTCCAGATCCCTGCCAGTGTGACTTTGGTCATCATCATAAGAAAGGGAAGGGGAGAGGAAATTTTAAACGAAAAGAAGAAAAATACATCTAGGTGGGAAAAAATCTAATGGTTCCTGGTACCTCACACATTTATCAAAAAAAAAAAAAAAACTAAAACTAAGTAATTACCTGATTACAATCCAGCATGCTTCTTGCCACAAATCTGGAGTGATTTCATCATCATCCTCATCATATTGCATATCTGAAAAATCGAAAATATTGTGATCTCATTTGCCATAAAATCCTACTATTTAACATCTTGCTCCTATGATTTTGAAGTAGCAGAAACATATTTACACAGTTAAATAAAAAGCAATCCTTGGGGCTAGAGCAATAGCACAGCAGATAAGGCGTTTGCCTTGCATGCGGTCGATCTGGGTTCAATTCCCAGCATCCCATATGGTCCCCTGAACACCACTAGGAGTAATTCCTGAGTGCATGAGCTAGGAGTAACCTCTGTGCAATGCTGAGTGTGATCCAAAAGGCAAAAAAAAAAAGCAATTCTGGGGCCAGAGTGATAACAAAGCAGGTAGGGAGTCTGCCTTGCATGCGGCTGACCCAGGTTAGATCCCCAGCATCCCATATGGTCCCCTGAGCACCGCCAGGAGTAATTCCTGAGTGCAGAGCCAGGAGTAACCCCTGAGCATTGCTGGATGTGACCCAGAAAGCAAAAAAAAAAAAAAAAAAAAAAAAAAGCAATCCTTCACCTTTCCTAAATTTCATTTACTCTTTTAAAAACTTTTTGAGGGGCTGGAGCAATAGCACAGCAGGTAGGGTGTTTGCCTTGCACAAGTCCGACCCGGGTTCAATTCCCAGCATCCCACATGGTCCCTCAGGCACTGTCAGGAGTAATTCCTGAGTGCAGAGCCAGGAGTAACCCCTGAGCGTTGCTGGGTGTGACCCAAAAAGCAAAAAAAAAAAACTTTGAAAAAAAATTATCGATTTATCACTGTTTTACAATTTTGTGGAATTTTAGGAGTTCAATTTTGTGATTTTTTTTTCCTTTTTAGAAAACAGGAAATTTCTATTGGAAAATAAAAGAGAAACTCCCTGTGCAGAGAAGAGAAACTTAGTCAAGGACTAAGTGAGGAGTTTGACTATTCCTCTATATATATGTAGATATCACTATCTTCACAATTCAAAAAGAAACACCTTTCTCATGTGGGATTAAAAAAACATAGTAAGGAAACAAGTAGCCCAAGTCATTGGAACTAGAGACTTTTTTCTATAGAGCTTCCCTGGGGACCTTAGGACACTGGTGAACGGAAGTAGTTCTCTGGTGATGGGTATGGTGTTGAAGATGTATGCATGAAGAATATAATTAACAGTATTGTAAATGCAGAAACCACAATTAAAAAAGTAAATAGGGCCAGAGAGATAGGAGGGCACTTGTGGCCAACCCAAGTTCAATCCACAGCATCCAAAAAGCCTGCCAGAAGTGTTCCCTGAGGGTAGTAAAGTCAGGTGTCACCCCCCCCAAAAAAATGCCCAAAAAATGGTAAATAGGGCTGGAGAGATAGTATACAGCGCTTCCCTTGTACCCGGCCAATCCAGGTTGGGTCCCAGGAGTCCCATATGGTCCCCCAATCAACACCAGGAGTAATTCCTGACTGCAGAGCCAGGAGTAACTCCTGAATATTGCCAGGTGTGACCCAAAAACAAAGCCAAACAAACAAAAAAAAAACCAGAAAGAAACAGATTTTAGTTAATCAAATAATAAATAACAAAGCAGGAGTAAGCCCTGAGCACCACTCACTGTGGCCTAAAAACCAGTAATGATAATAATACTTAATTTATGATCTATTATTCAAAGTAGGTCATCCACAAAAAAAAGGGAGATGGCTATGCAATAATAAAGAACTCTCTTAGATATATATACATACACCTACAAACATAAAGCAAAAGTACAAAAAGTCTCAAGTGTTATTTTTTTGTGTAAAAAGGAAGAAAGAGATTCCATCTGAATATGCTTAGGTATGCATAAAGCCCTATTGAGAGAGGGGAGCCAATCCTATTGAGGAGCGGTTAGTTACTGTGGAGAAGTTTATATGGAATAGATGGTGAACAAGAATGAAATTTTGAGGTCCGAGAGGGGTGGTTAAGGTGTTTGCCTTGCATACAGACCCCCGCTAAAGCCTGGCACCATATACTAAGCATCTAAGCTTAGGATCAGGAGTGATCCCTAAGCACTGCCCTGAGTCCCACACACAAATGAAAAATGAGAGAAAACCCTTACTTTAAGGTGTCCGGATTTGTGAGTCCTGAAAACATATGATCTACTCAAAATATTAAGTTAAAAAAAAATTTCTGGGGCTGGAGCAATAGCACAGTGGGTAGGGCGTTTGCCTTGCACGCTGCCAACCCAGGTTCGATTCCCAGCATTCCATATGGTCTCCCGAGCACCAGGAGAGATTCCTGAGTGCAAAGCCAGGAGTAACCCCTGAGCATAGCTGGGTGTGACCCAAAAAGCCAAAAAAAAAAAAAAATTCTGAGGACCAAAGAAAAGGTACAGTGGAGGATAAGAAACCTGCCTTGGCACACAGCCTACCCAGGTTCCATCCCTGGAAAAACACACGGTTCCCTGAGCCTGGCCAGGAGGGATCCCTGCACAGAGCCAGGAGTAAGCTCAAGAACTGCCAGGTGTGGCCTCAAAACAAAACAAAAACCGTATTTTCTGAATTTTTCTCTCACAAAATAGAAGATAGCGTATTGATACTACTAAATGTCTAGATTCAAGATAGGGAGTTTTAAACAGAAACTTTGCTTGTATCTTCTTCACGAAGTAACTGAAGCCTTGGAGGAAAATGAGATTATCTCTCATTCCAAGGAATTGGAAACTAGAGGAAAATTAAGCTTGAAATAGCTGTGGAGACATAATAAACTCTCAGTACCTGTAATGCAAACCATAATGCCCATAAAGGAGGGAGAGGAAGAGAGGGGGGGAGGGGGAGAGGTCTAACATATAAGTGGGGGTGGAGGTGGGATGGCAGGAGGGAAACTGGGGACACTGGTGGTGGAAAATGTACACTGGTGGAGGAATGGATGATGGAGCACTGTATGACTGAAACCCAATCATGAACGGCTTTATAACTGTTTATCTTACAGAGAGAGGAAAAAGAGAAAGAACAGGAGGGGGAAGGAAGGAAGAAAGAAAGAAAGAAAGAAAGAAAGAGAGAGAAAGGAAAGAAAGAAAGAAAAGCAAGAAAAGCTGTGGAGAAGGGAGGGGAGGGAAACTTGAAAATCAACATGAAAAATACACTAGCCACGGCTAATTCACGTGAAAAGACGATTTATTAGCCCTGTTCAGTATCAGAGAACTGTGAAGAGTAAGTTTAAAAACCATCTTTACTAAATACTTTAAACTCAGGATCGCAGGAAGGATCAAACACACACACACACACACAAACACCCCACCCCAATACTGTGTCCCAAGAGAGCGTAGCACACAATCCCTGGCTCAAGCTGACGCTCAAAACTCTCTCGCTCTCTCTCCTATAAACCGACTAACTCTGGTTTTAGGCGAAATCACAAAAGGACAAAAGAAATTTGCCCTACGCTTCTGATCACTACTTCTGCACCACAAAGCGAATGGGAGTTGCTCAGGAGCAGAGAGCAGAACCCTAAGCGGAATATTAACTCATAGGTTAATAGCAGTGATGAGCGCCCTCCATCCCTGACAATCCTGGCTCCGTTCCCGCGGGGCGGGGGGAGTGGTCTGAGGATCCTCCCGGGGCTCCGCAAATCGATTCTTCCAGCAACCCCCTCCCTTAGTCGTCTCTCCTTAGGGTCAACGCGAGCTGTCCTGCGTGGTCACCTACCCTCGTCGGCGTCATACATTTTGGCGATCGAGTCCTGAGCGCCTTATTCTAGCAACCAGACAGACGGCACGCAGCAGCCACAACTCCGGCACCAGCAGCCGAAGCGACTTCCGTTTCCGGTGTTCCCAGAATGCTCCGCGCCAGAGACCGCCCCCAAGTTCCCGCGCCGAAGATCCGCGCATGCGCCCACGACAGTCGGGCAATCCGAGTGTCCAGGTTGCGCCCGCACCTTGCGGGGGTCGCTGGCTCCCTTGGCGGAGCCTTAGCGGAGCGAACCTTCTCCAGGCTGGTCCTCGCTTCCCCGCCAATTTTAAGTTTTCGTTTTTCAACGCTGTTGCACAGATAACGGCACCTGCAGAAAATAAGGGCATAAATGACTTTTTTTATTAGAAGATCTAATGAGGCGCCCGCAGCATTTTGTTCTTTTTTTTGCACTTCCAAAAGCCAAAACCATATCAACTATCGATGCTATTTATTGGAGTGGTAGCCGCTCCTGTCTACTGCTCAGTTCTGGCTATGTCTCCAACGGGGGCTAGGGGTGGAGTCTGGGATTTTTTTTTCCCCAGCATGGGAGCCACACTTGGTGCTCAGGGACCACTCCTGGTGGGCTGAGGGGACTCTGTGGTGTCTGGGATCGAAGCTGGGTCAGGCACGTGCAAGGCAACCCGCTCCGGCCCCGGCTTGGTTTTTTTTGTTTTGTTTTTGGTTTACAAAGTATTGATAATACTTATCATGACTACACACATAGACACAACTACCCCCATCACCAGAGTACCCATCCCCCAGTTTAGAGTCCTTTAAAGCGGGACACACACACACACATAGACACAACTACCCCCATCACCAGAGTACCCATCCCCCAGTTTAGAGTCCTTTAAAGCGGGACACACACACACACGGACACACACATCCTCAGGCTTTTATCGCGAGAACTCACGGGATTAGACGCGAGAGGCAGAGCCTAAGTGGGACGGCCGACAGATGACAGCTCAGGCACTTCCGGGGTTTTTCGTCGCGCGCGTGTTTCGCTCCGGCTGCGCGCGCACCGAGCCGCCCTCCCCATGCTGCCTGCATGCCTGGCCCGCGGGCTGCTGGTGTCCTTGCGGCGGTCTGCGCCCACGGCTGCGCGCCCTGGCCTCCGGGAACAACTCCACGGTAGGAGATGTGCGGCCGCCGACTCCTCGGAGCGCCCTTCGGACCGGGGACGCGGGCCTCCTCGTGGCCCGACGACAATAAGGGGCTTCGAAGGAAGGGATGACCCAGAGGAGCGTTTTCTGTTCCCCGAGTATGTGGCCGAGCCCGAGCCCGAGCCCGAACCAGCCCTCGAAGAGCAACTGCGGGAGCTGCAGCAGCGTCAGGAAGAGGAGGAGCGCCAGAAGCTGCAGCAGCGAGAAGAGCGGTGGCTTCGGAGGCTACGAGCCCAGCCCCGGGAGCCCCGGGTGCTGGGACACCCGGACTGGTCCGTGCCGCCCAGCGGCCTCAACTGCTCGGGATGCGGGGCGGAGCTGCACTGCCAGGACCCTGGCCTGCCGGGTTACCTGCCCAGCGAGAAGTTCGCCAGCGCGACGGCGCGGACCGTGTGCCAGCGCTGCTGGCTGCTGGTGCATCACCGGCGCGCCCTGCGCTTGCAGGTGAGTCGCGAGCAATACCTGGAGCTGGTGAGCTCGGCGCTGCGGCGGCCCGGGCCCGCCCTCGTCCTCTACATGGTGGACCTGCTGGATCTCCCTGACGCCTTGCTGCCGGACCTGCCCGCGCTGGTGGGCCCCAAGCAGCTGATCGTGCTGGGCAACAAAGTGGACCTGTTGCCCCAGGACTCGCCCAACTATAGGCAGCGGCTCCGGGAGCGGCTCCGGGACGAATGTGCCCGAGCCGGGCTGCTGCCGCCCGCAGACCCGCGGGGCTCACCGCATCCCAGCGGAGACGGGCCGAGGGACGGGGAGGAGGACTCGAACCCTTCGGCCAGGGCCCGCCCTTTGCTCAGGGACGTGAGGCTGATCAGCGCCAAGACGGGCTACGGCGTGGAAGAGTTGATCTCCGCTCTCCAGCGCTCCTGGCGCTACCGCGGCGACGTCTACCTGGTGGGTGCCACCAACGCGGGCAAGTCCACGCTCTTCAACACGCTCCTGGAGTCCGACTACTGCATCGCCAAGGGTGCTGAGGCCATCGACAGAGCCACCATCTCCCCCTGGCCAGGTGAGCCTCTGAGGCTCACCCCCATTCCTCTTCTTTTCTGAGAAGCAGGACCTGGGTTTTACATGTAGCCCAAGCACCTAAGGGATCTCTCCTTAGGTCCGCCAGGGTTTGTTTGGAACCTGCCCTTTATCGTCATTCCCTTGGGGTCTGAGAAATAGGACAGAGGGTAAGGCGCTTGCCTTGCAAGAGGCCAACCACCGCAGGGCGCCCCCCGCCCCCCAGCAAAACAAAACCAAAATAGATCTCTCCCTAGTTCACACATCTCGTCCAGGTTAGCTTTGTGCTCAGAAATCCAGTGAATGTTGCGGTCTTCTAGGAGAAATGTTTCTGGAGCAGAGCTGTGCCACATCACTGTTTTGGGTCCTGGAAGGAAAAGGGGAGACAGCACAGTAACTGTGCCCTGGAGGCTTCCCTTTCCTTTCTCAAGGAAATCCTTGTACTTTGTGACCCTGCATCCACTCCTCAGTTTTCCTCTTCATACTTAAATTTGTTCAGTACATTCAAGATATTTGACATTCGAGGGATTCCCTACTGCAGTATGATGTGTCGTTTGTTCAGAAGAAACAATCTAGGGACTGGATAGTATGAACAGTTAAGTCACTTGCCTTGTACACAGGCTTACCCCTGTTCGACCCTGACACCCTATATGCCTGCCAGAGTAATTTGAGAAGTTATAGCACAAAACAGGGTAATCCCAGTTAGGGCACAAAAACAAAAATATATTTTTTTTTTTTGAGGAAACAACCTAAGAAATTTACCTAGAAGAGCCAGAGAGATAATACAGAAGTTAAGGAGCTTGACTTGGCCTTGGTAATGACCCGTTTTATCCCCTGTACCAACTATGGTCACCTGAGCACCAGTGGGTGTAGCCCAAACACCCCCCCCCACACACACACACACATTTTTTTTTCTTTTTGGGTCACACCTTGCATTGCACAGGAGTTACTCCTGGCTCATGCACTCAGGAATTACTCCTGGGATGCTGGGAATCAAACCCAGGTTGGCAGCATGCAAAGAAAACACCCTATCCGCTGTGCTATCACTCCAGCCCTACACACACATTCATATGGGGCCAGAGGGATAATGCAGCAGGTCAAATGCTTGAACGTAGACCACTAAGGTTTGATCCCCAGCACCTCGTATGGTGATCTCTGAGCTCAGAGCCAGGAGTAAGCCCTCAGCACAGCTGGGTGTGTTCCAAACCCCATCCCTGCCTCCAAAAGAAACTTATGTAGGGCCAGAGAGGTAGCTCAACATTCTGCATGCAGGCTTTCCCTGTAGGAGGCCTGGGTTCAAGTCACAGCACCTCATGGTCCACCAGCACCTACCCCACTTTTCCTTGGAAACCAGTGGACAGTCATTTGACAAGTGGCTTATCTCTACCTTGGTCTTTGGGGGTATGTCGCAGCCCCCAGCCAGAAGGGGCTACCCAGTGTAGAAATCAGATAGAAGTTACTTTTAGTTTGGGAGTCACACCCAAAAGTATTCAGGGAATTCATTTGGTGTCGGTGCCCGATGCAAAACAAATGTTTTAGCCCTATGAGTTGTCTCTGCGCCTCTGCAGAGAAGTACTTTTATACTGGATGATGGTGGGTTGAAAATGAAAGAGAACAGATGTACAGTTTAGCTCGTGAGCTGGTCTTTGAGCCTATTCCCTCATCTGTAAGGTAGGAATTTCCCAGGGAGCTGTCCTGAAAGTAAGTGGACCGATCACAATACCTTAACTCTCCTCGGGGAGAGTTTTTATCTCCTGATTCCTGTACATACACTGTGCTCATTAAAATGTGTTCTTTGGTATTTCAGGAACTACTTTAAACCTTCTGAAGTTTCCTATTTGCAACCCAACTCCTTACAGAATGTTTGAAAGGCAAAAAAGGCTGAAAAAAGAGGCAACTAAAGATGAAAAAGATCTGAGTCAGCAGGAACAAAATCAACTTAATCTCTTAAAAAAGCATGGTTATGTCATAGGTAAGCATCTTCCACAGAAACACTTTTATTAGGTCTGTGCCAGTATTCTTTGTTGAGCACCTAAAAGGAACTGTCTTTCTGGAAGTGTTCCTCTTTCTGGAACGCAGAGCCTTTTTAGAAAAAAGGCTCCCACTTAGAAATCCAGAATTCTGGGGCTGGAGCAATAGCACAGTGGATAGGCACTTGCCTTGTATGCAGCTCACCCAGGCTTGGTCCTCAGCACCCTATATGATTCCCTGAGCCTGCCAAGAGTCATCCCTGAGCACAGGGCCAGGAGTAAGCCTGGAGCACTGTTGGGTATGGCTGGGAAAAAAAAAAGAAAAAAAAAGGGGCTGGAGCGATAGTACAGCGGGTACGGCATTTGCCTTGCAAGCGGCCAAACCGGGTTCGATTCCCAGCATCCCATATGGTCCCCTGAGCACAGCCAGGAGTAATTCCTGATTGCAGAACCAGGAGTAACCCCTGTGCATCGCCGGGAGAGAGCCAAAAAAAAAAAAAAAAAAAAACCCAAAATAAAAAAAAAGGAAGGAAGGAAAACTGAGAGAGCAGATAAGATCCTTGGAGAAATCTAAGAATGGAAACATACACTAATCACCTCACCATTGTTAGCAATAGAAACGTTTTCACTGAGCAAACCAGTACATTGTTGTCTACTCTATACACCAGCTGTAAAGTACTGCCCCCTTTCTTATCTCTTTGCAACCTTCCTATGCTAAAAACATAAGATTGCCAATTCTCCTCACACAGCCAGCCACACACTCCTGATCATTTCAAGAGTCTGACCCCCACTGCCTTTGGAAAATGAGCATTGTAATCTCACTGCTATAGACAGAAGTTACTGTTAATCCCTCACTGAAGGCAGATTCAGGAATAACTGCCTGGAGTCAAAAGCTTCAAAACACTGACTAATTATTTCAGTCTAACTCGTTCTAGGAAGAGTTGGAAGAACATTCTTGTATTCGGAAGAACGGAACAGAACGGACTTTGAGTTTGACGCTGACTCTCTTGCCTTTGACATGGAAAACGAACCTGTTCCAGTCGCTGATAAATCTAGGGAGCGAGTGGAACTGACCCCACAAGACGTGAAAGATGCTCACTGGTTTTATGACACCCCTGGAATCACAAAAGAAAATTGTGTATGTATTGATTGATTTTTGTGGTTTTTGTTTTTGGAGCCACACCCAGTGTTGTCCAGGGCTTACTCCATCTCTGTGCTCAGGGATCACTTCTAGTGGGCTCTGGGGACCATAATTGAACCCAAGTCAGCTGCTTGCAAAGCAAGTACCTTAACTCCTGTACTATCTGGCCCCTAAACTAATTCTTTTTGATATGGAGGCAAAGATACCCCCAGCATTTTTGACATGGTGGGGCTTAGGAGTACTGCTCTCTCTGCGCTTCGGGAACTGTGTGGTACCGGGATCAAGCCCAGGCCTCCTGCATGCACTCAGCCTGTTAGGCTATTTTATTTGGCCCCTAACTTCAACAAATTCTTCTCTTTTAGACTCAGTTCAGGGATAGCAATTACTTCAGTCAAATGCACTTATCAAACCATCAGAAAAGGAAAAATTTACCAAATATATTATCCAGCAGAATGAAAACCTCGGATTTTTAGATATAAAAGTTCTCTCCGTTTGTTTCCATGTCAGTGACATCATTTGGTGCCTTAAACCAGTTCCCAAGCCGAATCAAGGAACTCGAATAAATGGAACCATTAGGGTTTCTGCTAAAAAGAATTCAAAGGGTTTCTGTATTGTGATTAACACCTTCCCTTTTCATTACTAGCTTTCACCAAGTTATACTTCTCTCTGTTCCTTCTTTGAAATAGATTTTGATTTCTTATATTTTATCTGAATTTTATACCTTCTAAATCTTTTCTAAATGTTTACTCTATTTAATAACTCTGTCTGCTGGGTTGGCAGTAGGGCGTTTGCCTTGCACGCAGCCAACCCAGCAGACCCGGGTTCATTTCTTCCGCCCCTCTCGGAGAGTCCGGCAAGCTACCAAGAGTATCTCGCCCACACAGCAAAGCCTGGCAAGCTACCTGTGACGTATTCGATATGCCAAACACAGTAACAAGTCTCACAATGTTACTTGGCCCACTGGAGCAAATCGATGAACAATGGGAAGACAGTGACAGTGTTTACAAGTCAAAGAATTCCTATCTCCACCTTCCTCTCCTCTCTCCTCAACTTGCTCTTCCTCTTCTCTGCTCCCCGATCCTCTCTCCTTCTCTCTCTTTCTCTCTATCTCTCTCAACTTCCCCCACTGAGCCACTCTCTGAGTATTTGGGGGAAATAAGGAAATTGAAGACCAGGATTTAGAAAGGATTTTCTTCCATTTCATTACCTGTTGCACTACTGGGGTAACGGTTTTACATTTAATGCACATGAACTTGTTTTTGTTTTTGGGCCACACCTGGCAATGCTCAGGGTATCAAACCTGGACCAGCAGCATGCAAGGCAAGCGCTCTACCCAATGTACTATTGCTCGGGCCCCTAATGCTTGTCAACTTAACCTTATGACACGAGGTCCCTATTGCCTTACCTTATGCTGAAAACTCCTGCTCCCCAGAAGCATTGTTCTCAGTTAGCGCCAGCCCAACCCTCTGGAATGCCTCTGACCTAGGAAAGAAGTCTCGAATGTCTCTGACTTTTTTTTCACCACTGCATAAGATTAACTTGAGAATAAATGTACACCTGTAAATTAGTTCATTTAAATAGAAAGAATGTGTAAATTTTATGTGCAGCCAATGCTAACTTTTTTTCCCTTTTTTTTTGTTTGTTTGGGGAGCTGTTTTTGGCAGTGCTCAGGGGTTACTCCTGCACTCACAAATCAGTCCTCGCAGGCTTAGGGGACTATATGGAGTACAAGGGCTTGAACCCAGGTCAGCCACATTCAAGGCAAACACCCGACCCACCCGACCTATTGCTCCAGCCTCCAGTTTTCTCTTGTTCGAAGTCTAATACTTTTTATCTTTTTATCTTACAGATAAATTATAAAATCTCATGTTCAATTAAGAGAATTCTCTTTTAAAGTCTGCCTTTGCTTTACAGATCTTAAATCTGTTAACAGAAAAAGAAGTAAACATTGTTTTGCCTACACACTCCATTGTTCCAAGAACTTTTATACTTAAACCTGGAATGGTTCTATTTTTGGGTGCCATAGGCCGCATTGATTTCCTGCAGGTAAGGAAAGTCTATGTATATGCATACGTGTACATTATGACCCTATATGTACCGTGATTCCATATAGGATTGTGGAACTATGTGGAGGTGGAGGGAGTGGTTCACCAAAAAAAAAAAATTTGGCAATAATAAAAGGTCTCTGAATGCACAACCACCAAAAATGAATTCCAAACACACTACATTATGAATCCGAGAGGTTTCTGGTGGTGCTCACCTCTGTTGCCACTTCTCTGGTTAGAAGGGATTGTGAGCGGAAAAAGATTAAACAGCCCTGGGATAGACCTTTAGGTCCACGGTCCATTGTCCTCCCATTGTTCATTGATTTGCTAGAGCGGGCCCAGTAACATCTCCATTATGAGACTTGTTGTTACTGTGTTTGGCATATCAAATACGTCACGAGTAGCTTGCCAGGCTTTGCTGTGTGGGCAAGATACTCTCCGTAGCTTGCCGGGCTCTCCGAGAGGGGTGGAGGAATCGAACCTGGGTCAGCAGGGTGGACCGCGTGCAAGGCAAATGCCCTACCCACTGTGCTATCACTCTAGCCCAGACCTTCAGATATAGAAATAATATGCATTAAATAAATTCCATGCTTTTAATCCCATGATACATAAACGTATGCTCTGTTTAAAATTTTGTCCTCAATGGCCTGCACTGAGTAAAGCATGTAGAGCATTTGCCTTGCATGCAGCCAATCCAGGTTCAATTCCCGGCACCACATATGAATAGTATGAGCCCCGGCAGGAGTGGTCCCTACATGCAGAGCTAGTAGTAAGCCCTGAACACTGCCAGGTGGGGCCCACCCTCCCCCACCAAATAAATTAGTAATCACAAAGCATTAATCTGGAGATTTTAGAGTATATAGTTACTGTTTTGCAAAAGTGAGAAGGAAAAGAAAAAAATGAAACATGGACGCTTCTTATTGAAGATGTTGGATATTTAGCTCCACACACTTAAAATCCATTTATATTTCCTTAAATGTCCATGGAATGTTGTGGGGGTTAGTTATTGCTTTTTCTTTTGTGATGCCTGGGATCAGACCTGGCGCCTCACACAGGCAAGGCAGGCCCAGCCCAGTGACTAGTAATTTCTTTCATTTGGGGGCCACACCTGGGTCAGTGGATGGATGTCACACCCAGAGCCACGTGAGGACCAAGAAGTACCAGGAGTGGGACATGCATGTTCTCCTGCATGCAAAGCATCTGCTCTAGCTCTTTGAACTATCAAATTTTAATACTTTGATTTTGTTTTGTTTCGTTTGGGGGCCACACCTGTTAGTGCTCAGAGGCTCAGCTCGGTGTTTGTGGGTCATTCCTGATGGGAGCTTAGGGCACACGCCGTGCTTGGAGTGGAGCCCAGGCCTCTCTCATGCTTTGCATGTGCTCAGCCTGTCCAGGTATCTCTCCCACCCTGGGGCACTAATATGTTTTAACTTAACTTTGTATTGGGCCAGTTAAAGCTAACAGTATTTTCTTCTGGTTATGGTAATGAAGCACTTGTTTTCACAGGGGCCACACCTAGCAGTGCAGGACTGGGTGGGCAGTGGATGCGGGGGATCAAACTCGGACCCTCAAACATACTGAGCATGTGCTTTGCCACCTGAACTACTTCCCTGGCCCAAGAACTACAAAACTTTTTCTTTTCTTTTTTTTTTCTTCTTTTTTTGGGGGGGGTTGAGTGGGGACACACTTGGCAGTGCTCGGAGCTTCCTCATGACTCTGTGCTCAGGGATCACTCCTGGTGGGGCCAGAGTGATACCATATGAGGTGCCGGAGATCAAACCTGGGTTGGCCACATGCAAGGCAGGTGCTCTACCCACTGAACTATCTCTCTGGTCCCTACATTTTATTTTTTTTAAATCATTTTATGTTATTTTTTATTTTGATTTTGGGATCATGCCATCTGTGCTCAGGGTCCTGTCCAGTGATGCTGAGAATCAAACCAGGGTCAACCACATGCAAGATTTGTACTCTCTCTCCAGTCCCCACGAAGCATTTTCTTAATGATATCCACAAAGCAACAGAAAAGGTGCTGCCAGGGCTCTATCCCCAGCACCAAGCAACCTCCTCAGCATCACAGTGTGTAGAGCTGGAGGCCCCCAAGCACCAGCAGGGTGGCCTGGTGGTCCCCAGCACTGGAGGGCCCGAGGAGCACCTGGTCCTTGGGTCCTAACATCGAACTACTAACCACGTATCACCAGGAGTGGCTCTTAGGACTGTAAGCAGCATTGGCAGCCCCCTTCTAGCGCCCCCCCCCCCCCCAAAAGCACAACAGGAAGGAATCAGAGTTTTACTTAAATTGTCAAAATCTGTGTTGTCCCCTTTCTTGGGGCATTACTGTCGTTTGGTACAGCTGTCAGCCCCCCATGTTCACAAAGGAGTCTTGGTGTTAATGATCTTTTATAAGTATATCCAGCAATCTGTGAGTTTCTCAAGTTTTCCATTGTGTGAGAAAGCTTTTTTGTTGTTTTCGGTTTTGTTTGGGGGGGTTACACTTTGTGATGCTCAGGGTTTATTCCTGCCTCCGCACTCAGGAATCACTCCTGGCTGGGTTTGGGGCACCCTGTGAGACGTCAGGGATCAAACCTGGGTTGGCCGCATGCAAGGTAAGGATCTTACCCACTGCACTCTCTCTCCAGCCCTTGTATAGACTAACTTCTCTTTTTTTAAGGGAAATCAATCAGCTTGGTTTACAGTTGTGGCTTCCAACTTCCTCCCTGTGCACATTACTTCCCTGGACAAGGCAGAGACTGTGTACGAGAAGCACGCGGGTCACATGTTGCTCAAGGTGAGGCAGACATGGATAAGTGTGTGGTGGGGTCAGGCGCCATCATGCATCCACAGCCCCTCACAGGAAGCCTGGGCTCTCAGCCAGCTCTCCCTCCATCCTGCTAGGATTGGGACTCTACAGAGAAATGAAAGGGAGTATTTGGGTGGACTGACCCAAGAACAGCTACAGTGCTGTTTTCACTGGCCTGTGCTGTTCAATACGGCAGTCACATGTGGCTACATGTGAAATGTGTCACATGTGAAATGATGTCATTACACAGCCAGAGAGATAGTATACATGCTTGCCAGGCACCAGGTTCAAAATCCCCAGCACCACACAGGGTCTCCCAAGCACTGCCAGAGCTTACTTGTGAGTACAAAGTGAGGAATAGCCCCTGAGCACTGTTGGAGGTGCCTCCCCAACCGAAACATTTAAAACATCATAAATTATGTAGTTACAGGGCACAAGAAATAGTCACAGGAGGTGTGACATTTGCCTTGCATGCAACTGGCTCAAGTTCAATCTCAGCACCACCCAAGCACTGCCAGGGGTCATTCCTGAGCACTTGTATCACTTGTCATAGATTTGCTTGAGTGGGCGCCAGTAACGTCTCCATCCGTCCCTGTTGTGTGCTAGTGTAGCCCAATGGCAACTGCTTGCTCCAGGAACACAAAGAGCCTTAAAGTCAGGGTTTTGACGAAGAAATCTGACCATCTCGTAGGTGGATGGTCACGCATCCTTTTGATGTCCTGTGGAATCCAGTCGGTAACAGCTCTAGTCCAGCAGTTGTCTCTAAATCGCATTACATGTCCAGCCCATCTGATTTTTCATGCCTTGGCAAAAAAGACAGTGTCCCTGATTCTTTTTTTTTTTACTTTTTGGGTCATACCTGGCGATGCACAGGGGTTACTCCTGGCTCTGCACTCAGGAATTACTCCTGGCAGTAGCTCAGGGGACCTTATGGGATGCTGGGAATCGAACCCTGGTCGGCCGTGTGCAAGGCAAACGCCCTACTCGCTGTGCTACCACTCCAGCCCCGGTTCCTGATTCTTGATCGTCATGAAGGTTGGAACTCCAGATTCCTTTTCTCACTTGAATGAAGTGTGATATTTCAAGCACAGCTCTTTCAATTCCTCTTTGGGAGACCCAAATAGCGTTCTCGTCCTGTTCGTAGGGCCCAGGTCTCTGAGGCGTATGTTAATGCAGGAAGAACATGGAGCCAGGAATTGCCCCTGACCCAAATGTCCCTCCCCCCCAAAAAAGGGGGGAAAAAGGAAACAAAATGAAATAAAAATTGAGTTCTTTGGCAGAGCCAACCACATTCCAACAGTGGCAGCATTGCCAGGGAGGAGAATCAGATATGTTCTGAGCACTGGAGGAATGGACACCGGGCGGGTGGATGATGCTAAGTGCCGGCATGTGAGAGGCACTGCACCCCAGGGCTCATCTGGTCCATGATGGGAGCAGTGCTGAGGAAACCCTGCTCCGGGTGGAAAGGCTCTCCTCCCAGGTTCTTTCATTTATTTTGGGGGGCTTTGGGGTCACACTCAGGGACTGCTCAAGAATTACTCCCAAACTGGTGCTGAGAGGAGCATGTGGTGCCAGGGATTGAACCTGGGCCTTCTGAATGCAATCATATGCGCCTTGGAACCAAAGCCATAGCACAGTGGGTAGGGCACTGCTTTGTATGCAGTCGACTCAGGTTCGATCCCCAGCACCCCATATGGTCGCCCCAAGCCCCTCCAAGAATGATCCCTGAGCGCAGAGCCAAGAGTCAGCCCTGAGCATCACCAGGTGTGGCCCCCATGCACACACAAAAAAATCATGTGCACCAGCCCTTCCCTGGTTCTTAATCCCAGATGCTTACCTCTCTACTCCTGTTCTACAAACTCCTTCCATCAACCGGTATTAAAATTTTCCTCATCTAAGTATACCTACTTAGATCGCTGTGCATATGATCACTTAATTCAGTCCCCCATACCCCATATGATCCCTGAGCACTGCCAGGAGTGATCCCTGAGCACAGAGCCAGGAGTAAGCCCTCAAACAAGAACAACCAAAAATCATAGAGGGGGACTCTTTACGTATCCTCTTGACTTGTTATGAGGCAGTAATCGTGGTTGCCATCCAGGGCTGTAAGAACTAACGTATTTGGAAGTTGCCTTAACTGCCCGACATTACTCCGATAACAGTGAAAACTGGGACTGGAGAGATAGTACAAAAGGTAGGGCACTTGCCTTGCACTCCACATGGGCCACTGAACACCACAGGATTGATCCCTGAGTGCAGAACCAGAAGTAAGCCCTGAGCATCTCTGGGTGAGGCCAAAAAACAAACAAACAAAAAAGACATGGAAGATTCTTCAAGTAGTTAGTACCGTCAGGAGCGTGCCAGCCTGTGCAAGGCGATCCTCAGGCCTTTTCTCATTGCTGCACTCCAGAATCACCTACTATATGCGTCACTATCTAAACACCTTTGTTTTATCTCAATGGCAGGTGCCAGAGGGTGGGAAGGAACGCATGGCGGGATTTCCCCCTCTTGTTGCTGAAGACATTACTTTAGAAGAAGGACTTGGGGACACTGAAGCAGTAGCTGACATCAAGTTTTCCTCTGCAGGTAACTGTACGCAGAAAAAAAGGGAATCACAATTGCCCTATTTTTTTCTTCCATTTATGGGACACGCTCAGCAGTGTTGAGTATAACCCCTGATGGTGCCTGGGGGACCATATGTGGTGCCAGGGATTTGGACCCGGGTCAGCTCTATGCAAGATAAGCACAGCACCTTACCCACTGTACTGTCTCTCCAGCCATTTTTATTTGTTTTTAATCAAGGGAAAAGGGTGAAAGAGACAGTGCAGGAGGCATGGTGGTTGCTCACTTTGGCCAACCCTCGTTCAGTCCTCAGAACCATATATGGTTCCCTGAACAGGCATGGCCTAACATCCCTCTCCCATTCAAAAAAATAAAGAAGAAAGAAAATCAAATCAAAGAACAAAATCTTCATCAGAGAGATGAAGGGTTGCAACCTGCTTTGCATGCAGGAGGCCCGGTTTGAGCCCCAGCACCACATGGTTCCCCAAACACAGACCCAGGAGTGACATCAGAGCACCACCAAGTGAGACCACAAAACTAGGGACAATAGGGGCCAGAGCGATAGCACAGAGGAGAGGATGTTGCCTTGCACACAGCCAACCTGTGTTCAATCCCCGGCATCCCATATGGTCCCCTGAGCGCCGCCAGGAGTGATTCCTGAGTGAAAAGCCAGGAGTTACCCCTGAGCATTGCCAGGTATGACCCAAAAAGCAAAAAAAAAAAAAAAAAAAAAAAACCCTAGGGAAAAGAGGGGCCAGAGAGATAGCCCAGCAGGTAAGGCACTTGCCTTATAGGCAGCTGACCCAGGTTCAATACTTGCTTCCCTCAAACACACCGGGAGTAATTCCTGAGTGCAGAACCAAGAGTAACCCCTGAGCACTGCCATGAAAAATAAATAAGTAAAGGGAAAATATAAAAAGTGAATAAAAGAGCATTGTTCTGGTGTTCTCCTGGGCGGGTTGCTAACTGCGCTCTGTTCTGATGCATGTCTGTGTAGGCTGGGTCGCCGTGACACCACAGTTTAAGGACAGGCTGCAACTCCGAGGCTACACACCTCAAGGAACAGCTCTGACAGTCCGGGCCCCTCTCTTGCCACACATCGTTCATGTCAAAGGAGAACGCATCAGGAAGAGCGTCGCCTACAAAACCAAGAAGCCTCCTTCCCTTGTGTACAATCTGCGGAAGAAGAAAAAGTAGATCCACATGTGAAGCCAACTGACCCTCTTTGTGCCGAGTATCATCTGTGCTGAATGTAACCATATACTTTGAATTATATTAAATATAGCTACCACAAAGAGCGATAGCACAGTGGGTAGGGCGTTTGCCTTGCATGTGGCTGACCCGGCCAACCCAGGTTCGATTCCTCCGCCCCTCTCGGAGAGCCCGGCAAGCTACCGAGAGTATCTCGCCTGCATGGCAAAGCCTGGCAAGCTCCCCGCAACGTATTCGATATGTCAAACACAGTAACTAGTCTCACAATGTTACTGGGCCCGCTCGAGGAAATCAATGAACAACAGGAGGACCTTGACCTTGACCTTGACCACAAAGTCCCACGGTGCCTAGCCTTTAGGTTTTGTTTTACTAGGGGAATGGGAGGCTTTATTTTTGTGTTTTGCTTTGTTTTTAGTGCCACACCTGTAGTTCAGAGAGTATGCCCAGCTCAAGAATTACCCCTGGTGATGCCTGCAGGGTCATGCAGTGTGAAGAACCAAAGTCAGGGTTCACACAATCCAGCCAGTTGACCTTTCTCCCCAGCCCCCTCGCCCAATTCTTTCTGTTTTTGAGCCACCCCTTGCAGTGCTCAGGGGACCGTAAGGAGTGCTGGGGATGGAACCTGGGTCAGCCCTCCCTGCTGTGCTGTCACTCCCTCGCTCTTCTCAGCTGCTCAGGACGGTGCCCTTTTGCAGGTGCTTCTGCTCCAGGTGCTCATCCAGGCATCTGGCTGACGGAACCTTCCATGGCTTCTCTGGATCGAGTAGGCTGCTCAGGTTGCCATGCTTTCCAAGTGGGAAGTAGAGAAACAAGTAACAAGCAAGCCGCTTCACTTATTTATTTGGCTTTTTTGGGTCACATCCAGTGATGCTCAGGGGTTAGTCCTGGCTCTGCACTCAGGAATTACTCCTGGCAGTACTCGGGGGATCATATGGGATACCAGGGATCGAACCCAGCTCAGCTGCATGCAAGGCAGACGTCCTATCCTCAGTACTATCTATCACTCCAGCTCTCATTTATTGTTTTAATTCTCTCCCATCCCCCACTTTCCCTCATCCTTCCTGCTGCTGCAGTGCCCGGAGGTGCCGGGAGTGGGCCATGTATCCTGCTGCAGTGCGGCACCCTTGCCCAGGGTGCACACCTGCTCACCAGGGGCCAGGCTGAGTTGACGCACACCAGCCATAGTTGCAGTGCTCACTGGGGCTACCCCAGCACTCACACACATGCCCCTGAAGGTCACATTCCCTCACTGTGGCATTCCCATGGCTTCTTAGTTGGAGAGTTCCCCGGAGGTGGCTCACACCCCTTCTTTTGTGGTGTTTACACGCACAGGGCTGCAGTGCAGCTGGAAATCTGCAGCACCAGAGACCTGCTAGGATCAGGCTTATGCATGTGAGACACCAGAGATTTGGACTCATGACCACAAGCTTGCAATTCCATTCCTCTGGGCCCCAGCTTCCGTGTGTGTGTGTGTGTGTGTGTGTGTGTGTGTGTGTGTTAGGAGTTAGACCCAAGTTTCCTGCATGCAAAGTATATACTTGACCACTGGGCCACAATCCTGGCCCAAATGCTTCTCTATTTCTTTTTAAAAAAAATTTTTAGGGGGTGCCATACCCAGCTGTGCTTAGGGCTTGTTTACTTAGAAATCATCTCTGGGAGGCTTGGGAGATGATCGGGGTGCTGGGGATCAAAACTAGGTCAGCTGTGTGTAAGGGAAGTACCTTAGCCACCATACTCGCTGGCCCCTGCTGCTCTATTTTAAAGAAGGGTGGGAAAGGTAGAATACACATTTCATGTCAACCACTGGTCAAGAGTTATATGACAGCAAAAAAAACTTCGAAAAAGCTGGGATGCCCAGCATATCCAGGCCCATCCTCTAGAGGGCAGTAACTTCCCAAGTTGGAAAATTAGACATTCTACAAACTCCAATTTGTTTTTGTGGCCAGTAAATTTATATCTATAGTTGGAAAGAAATAAGAGTCCAGTATGGAGCATGGGAATGAATTGTTAGATAAAATCAAGAAAATATAATGAAGTTGGTATTTGTGGGCAACTGCGAAGCCTAATGACCGGTACTGACGTAATACACAAGGAGTGTTTAGAAAGCAGAGAATGCCTCCCTCACCCCCCAGGTCAGACTCTCAGGGCCTCTTGACCAATAAAAAACCCTTTGTTAAATGTTCACAATTTGTATCTCCAGGTCTTACTTAACCACTAAAATTAAAGGTCTGCATTTTATAAAGCCTAAGGTGTATCTAAAACATCCATGACATCTTGCTCAAAGAATTTAACTGAAGCTTCCATTTCCCTTGTTTCGTGTCTTTTCTGGACTTCATTCTCTCATCTACGATCTGAAGGAACGACGCCAGAATTTTCCTCGGTTCTAAACTTTGATGATTCTGAGTGAAAACAGGTGGGGAGGCCAGGAGAAGGCTGGTAACCTCATGTCAAAGATGGTGCTAACACCTCGCTAGTCCCGGGCTTCTGCTGGGAGCTGGAACTGATGCGGCCCAAGGTCACTTCCGACAAGGTCACTGCCAGCCTTTTCATCTGCATCACCAATACCATGGATGTTACTTGAAGATCAGGGGCTGGTGGAGCATCTGCCCCGCAGACACAAGCCTGTGAGCCTGCTTCTTTGGCCCACCACAGCGAAGAGGGAAGGAGACCCCAGTGAGGAAGAGAGCAAGCAGTGTGCACAGAAACGGGGCGGGGGGGCAAGGGGGGTGTTTGGGCCACATTCAGGGGTGCTCAGGGCTTACTCCTCAGTGGTACCTGAGGAAGAACCGGATTGACTACATATAAGGCAAGTGCTTTACCCCCTGGATTGTCTCTCCAGCCTGGATTTTGTTCTGTTTCATTGCCATGTTGGTTTCTGATTTCTAGTCAGAAATAAAGCTGATTTCTGGTTGCTGATCCTTCACCAATCATTGATAGGAGTCTAAAGACTGCCTTGAATCAGCAATCATGTATACCACATTAACATAAAGGAATTAGTGGGCCTTTTCAAACACATAAAGAGAAGATATTGGGGTCAGGGAAATGGTACAGCAGATATTTGCCTTGCAGGCAACTGACCCAGGTTCAATCCCCAACAATCACCTGAGCACCACCAGAAGTGCTCCCTGAATGCAGAGTACAACCGGGCCCAGAAACAAACAAAAATTAAAGGGCATATGTCAGAAAGTCCCTCACTTCCTCACAACAAAGGTTGATGAGAAACAATGCAGCAAGTATAAACTCCTTTCTTTGGCTCAGTTATGCGATGATATTGACATGTTCTCTTGGATTCATGACACCTCAACAAAGCAAAACGTAGGGCTGGGGAGATGGCTCAAAGAGCTAGAATGCATGTTTTGCATGCAGGAGGCCCAGATTCAATCCCCCACACCACATGGTGCCCCAACAAAGAACGAAAAGCAATGAAGTATTCTATGTGCCATCTAGGGGCTTTTTTAAACTTCAGACACTAGACTCACTGTCGTATCTTGAAAAGCTCTAGTTAAGCTCCGCTTGCTGCCGCTCCCCTTTTCTTCAAGATGCCTGAAACAACTAAAATCGTAAGTCCTCTGGTTTGCAATGACAAGCCCTACCAATCACCAGGGCTCTACTAGCGGAGTCCCTCCACAGCGCTGGCGTGGCTTGCGACACTCGCTTCCCCTGACAACAGAGAAGTGCAGTGCAGATGCAATCGCGTGCGACTGCGGCGCTTGATCATACTCAAGGCCCTTCTTGCAAAATGGGGATCCGGGCTCACTTCCTCCCGATGACGGACTGGGCTCCAGCCGGGCTTGTTCCTGCTTCACCCAGCAGGACCAGACACTGCAGCCAGGGCGAACGTTCTCATAGACGTCCTCTGATCTTTTTCACCCTGGCTTCCCTCCCACTTGGCTCAGTCTCACGGAGCAGGAGAATCATTTCCATTCTCAGACTGTTCCATTTTCCCTTGGCTGCCTTCCTCCTCCCACGGGGATTGTTTGCTCTCACCCATCAAAGAGTCAAGCTTCAACATAAGGAACCCGACTTCAGACTCATGTGACTGGAAGAGAGAACACCTCTGTCTGTTCTCCACAGCCCTGCCGCACTCATGCCTGGAGTGGGAGGGGAATGTAGCGGCAGACAGGAGTGGGGCCTCCCTTTCTCACTTCCTGTCAAAGAGACTCATCATGTCTTCACTGACGCAGGGACTTTTTGATCTGAATATCGCTATTCGTCATCATCCTTACAATAACCACAGCCGGGATCCCCAGGTTTTTTGAAAAAAACTCCTGTTTTTCAAACTCTTCCTGTTGAGCTGGAGAAACAGTACAGCATGTATGGCGCTTGCCTTCACCAAGCTAAACCTGGCTCGAACCCTGGCACCTCTCCCTAATCCCACCAGGAGTGATCCCTGAGCACAGAGCCAGGAGCACTGCTGGATGTAGCCCCAATTTCTTTTTTTAATTTTCTATTATTCTTCCAAATCATTCTCAAAATTTACCTCTGGGCTGTTCAACCTAATGGAAGACTATTGGGTTTTTCACACACACACACACACACACACACACACACACACACACACACACACACCCTCACCCTACCACTTGGTCAGGGATCCAGCCCAAGTTTCATGCTCTCAAGACATTGGGACATTGGCCTCACCACTGAACCATATACCCAACTTACACTGCTTTTTTTTTTTATTTATTTTTTATTAGTGAAACATCATGAGGTACAGTTATAGACTTACAAATTTTTGTGCTTGGGTTTCAGTTATACAATGATCAAGTACCCATCGCTCCACCAGTGCCCATTCTCCACCCCCACCAATTCCAGTATCCCTCCCAACCCCCCACCCCACATCCCACCCTGCCTCTGTGGCAGGGCATTCCCTTTTGTTCTCTCTCTCTCCTTTCGGGTTCTGTGGTTTGCAAGCGAGGCATTGATTGGCAATGTTTGGTCTATAGTCTACTTTCAGCATGCTTCTCCCATCCTGGGAAGATCCTCCCAACACCCTTTATTTGGTGCTCCCTTTTCTATCTGAGCTTCCTTTTCCCCTAGCACATGTGGTTGGCCTCCAAGTCATGGAGCA